CGTTGCTGCTAGATTAAAATACAAGAATTGATTTAATGCTTATGTTCATCTCTTCCTCTCCATACCTAATGTGCTTGCTTCTGAAGTTTAGGAAAGCAGAGAAGGGGGATTGTTGTCAAAAGAGGTCAGCGGGTGGGATATAAGGTAAGAGGGAGCTGAAGAAAATAAATTTACAGGAAGGTGCAGTAACTCTTGGTTGCTTCATCTGTTAAAATATTTTCTCCCTACACTCTCTTGTATGTTGTCTTTCATGTAGACAGTGCCTAAGTACAGTTCTAGAAAAGATTTCCATTATTGTGGATGCCAATTCAGTGGGACTGGTATTGGCAGCTTTGGGAACCTTAATGTAAGTGGGCTTCTACTGGCAACACTGTTTGAGCACCGTGTAATCTAACACTGCAAGAGCAAGTCTGACAATGCTGAAAACTGCCTTGGCTGCTGAAATCTCATTGACACCGTGGCTCCTATTGTGGCTCCTACTGTTGCTAACATGATATTAACAGTGGGAAAACTTTTTGAGAAGTTTTTCTTGCATACAAAGCTTTATACTGCAAACATCATGAAAATGTTTATAAGGCGGCTAGCACGTTTGGGTGCTGTTTAAATCACAGATGTGTTGACTGAAACGCTTGCATTTTGCAACAATTCACCAAAAGGCAAGGTAGGGTTTGTAAATAGTGTTGAAGTAAAAAAACAACTCAAAATCACCAACAACCCTCCACATATTATTGAAGGAGTTTCTTCTAAAACAACAACAAAACCTCCAGAAGATGATGTAGTTTTAGATGTGAATTTTAATTGTCATGCATTATTCAAGATACTGGTGAGTCTTTGCTAGCTGGTTTCATTTCAGCAGTGATTTTCTCTGGAGTTTAAATATTCATAAATGCTGACTTACCCTCTGCATTTAGGAGAACTTAGTAGAAAGCAAACATCACAAGCTTGCTCGAAGTTTAAGAAGTGGACCTTCTGATCATGATCTGAAGCCTAATGCAGCTACACGAGATCAGCTTAATGTAAGTAATATGGTGGCTAAATTCAGTTTTATTGGGTAGATAGATATTAATATATGGTGACAATTTAAGGAAAACACAGTTCATTTCAGTTTAAAGAAATTCATTAATGAAGAAATGTCATTAAGTGTTTCTTACAAGTGCTTAGTTAGATGGCTCCAACTAGGAAAGGAGCAGAAGGTACTTGTTCATTTTTTTGTAAAACAGTTTTGGGGGATAAGAATGTGTATTGTGTACATATCATGTAGCTGTTAATGGTAGTCTTAAAGCAGCTGTGTATGTTTGCCTATGCAGCCAGTTCTATCAACCATGTAACTGAGGAGCATCACAATGATAGCATGAGAACTTTGTGGTTTTTGGAAAGCTTTTTTTTTCCAGGCTCTTTTTGTCTTGTTTGTGTTTTGCTTTGTCACAGTGCAGTCGGTTAACTTGTTGATTATGCCTGCTCATGTTTTAACCTCACTTTCTGACTCTATCTAATAGATCATAGTGAGTTATCCACCGACAAAGCAGCTAACGTATGAGGAACAGGATCTAGTTTGGAAATTCAGATATTACCTTACTAATCAGGAGAAGGTAAGTTGAATTATTTGAGAGGACTTATTAATGCAAGATGTGCTTGGTCTGGCACTCATTCTACAGTGTTCTGTCTTTGCACAGATACAGAACTTCAGTGTCTTAGAAGCTATTCAGGGTTGTTGTAACTTTTTCTACAATGTTAAAAATTGGTGACTGTAATTTTTCTCTTTTTAATCATATGAACTGTCTATTATTACAGCAGTCTTTCTACAAACACTGTCAGCTTAGAATATCAGTGTTGCCAATTTTATCTTCAGAAAAAAAAATATTAAAGAGTATTCTTCATTCTACAAACACTGTCAGCTTAGAATATCAATGTTGCCAATTTTATCTTCAAAAAAAAAAATATTAAAGAGTATTCTTCGTATTCTTCATCCCTTTTAGACAAGGGTTAGCATTACCAGATTAAGTAGTAGCACACCAAAAGCCCAAAGTAAATTAAGTAACTAAATAACCCCCCCAGCATTGGGCATTTTTTATGTAGTGGTAATTGTGGTAAAACTACATTTTACTTAGAAGATAACCCAGCTGCAGTTTTTTTGGGACATATTAAAACAATCTAGTATTGTATTGTCACTTAATGTCAGTAAGGTTCCTAAGGACTGTACTTTTGTGAATATAGTCTGAATCTAGCTCTACCTTAATGTGAAACATTAATTTCTAAAATTGTTTAGCCTGGCCTTTCACTGATGAATTGTCCAACCTCTTTCTATTTAGGCCTTGACAAAATTCTTAAAATGTGTCAACTGGGACCTACCACAAGAGGCAAAACAAGCACTGGAGCTACTAGGCAAGTGGAAACCCATGGATGTGGAAGACTCTCTAGAACTTCTGTCATCTCACTTCACCAACCCAACAGTTCGGCGCTATGCTGTTGCCAGGCTTCAGCAGGCTGATGATGAGGTATTCATTGGTCTGTGGGTACATGTGAAGGTCAGCTGATTGCAGGATTTTTAGTCTCATTGAGTACTAGAAATGTTTGCTACTTTTTAAGGCATTTAAGGGAATAATAGTAATGGAAAACTGGAGAAAAAAAAATTCACTGTGATACTATTTAAGTTAATCAGGGAGGAAAGTCTTCACATTATTGAGTGGCACTCACTGATAATTGTCTTAGTGTGAACAGCCAGTGATGGGTGGTTTTGTTAAACAAGGTGAAACCACTGCATGTTCTCCCCAAAAAACAGTGATAAATTTTGAATATTAACCTGCATAAAAGTGCTCTGAACTTAAATAGTCTGCTAAAAGGTTTCCAACAAATCCAGCTGGTAAATTGAAGCAGTATATCGTCATACTCTTGCTAAAGAAAGTGAAAAGCATCTGTGGAAATAAGGTGTTTCTAATTGTGTACTGATTAGAATATGATGAGCTGTGATTTGTGAGTAGAGCCCACTTAAAATATGCTAATCTGTTAAATTTTAATTATTTATATATTTTTAGTTTCTTTCTGCAGTTAAAAAAAAATACTTTGAATGCGTTACCATAACTCTTGAATCCTTAGCAATCAACAGCATTTAAAATACGGAGCATACGTACATCGAATTTTTGCAAGCCCACTTAAATAGCCAAGGTCATACTTCTTTGTCTTTAAAAATGTACCTTTTATGGAACATTTGAAGGCAACTAAACAGAGCAAATTGAATAGTAGAGGGAACAAATTCATTATAAACAGCAAGTGATCAGAATTTTATTTTTCAATCTAAAATAGATCAGATACAAGTTTTGGGTTTTTTTGAATCCCCAGCTACACAAGGGATAAAAAAAAGTGCATAAGAGAGGAGGGAATCTGGGTACCGGGTACTATGGTCTGGTTTTTATGCTTGACTTTTCTTCTTGGGAGCCACAAACTGTAAGGTTTATTTTGTGGATACAGGAAGCAAGTAGGGCAGCTTAACTAAAGAGAACTTTAAAGTAGCAGTTGTACTTAGTTTACTTAATGAGCACTTACTACCTTTGAGTAACAAAAAAATGGTAATGTTGGTAACTCAGTATGTTTTAGGAGTCAAACTTCATCCTTCAACCCCTTTTTCTATTGTAAATTGCTCGCTAGGGAGACCCCAGTTTCCATTTCTTTATAGGTCACTAAGTCTTTCCTAAGTTTTTGTATAAATTAGAATTTTGAAAACATACAGGGTCCTAGTCAGCTTTGACTGACCCCCTCAATTAATTTTCATTTTTTTCCTCCATAAGGATTTGCTGATGTACCTGCTACAGTTGGTCCAAGCATTGAAATATGAAAACTTTGATGACATAAAGAATGGACTGGAACCTAGCAAAAAGGACAGTCAAGGTTCAATGTCAGAAAGCATGACAACATCTGGAACTAATGGTGCAGAAATAGACAGGTCAGAATCTTATATTTCTGGTAGAAAAGCAGAAACATATACTATTGTAAGCTCTCAAATTCTTTCTCCTTTTTAGGGACCAGTGCATATTCCACATCCTATTTTATAATCTGAAGTGGTGACATAAAGAAAAAAAATAACCCCTGAGCTTTCACAGAATGTATTTCCTGACAGAGCAAACATTCTTAATCTTGAAGTTGTGGCCTTTGACCTTACTTCATGAAAGGAGAACAACTTCTGGAGAGCAGGACAAACACAGGCATTGTTTCCTTCTGTCCTTGCAAAAGTTGGGATGTCTTCAATGAAGTTGTTGTATGAGGCTTCACTTCTGCCTTTCATTAAAAAATACGTATCTAAATGTCTGATCAGTCTCAAATGGAAAAGAATTTCTTCCTGCTCCTGCAAAAGAAGGTGTAGGGAGAGTCCTGTGAATGTAAAGGAGCTGGGAGAGCACACTTTTTATTCTTAGAGGAATCCAAAGGAAAGGCTGAAATACCTACTTAATATGGTATTAAGAAAGGTGCAAACAAATTTGGTTAACCGAAGTCTCCTGTGAATATTTAATACAAATTTCCAGGATTTTTAATCTTAAGCTTCAATATCTAATCACTTGTGTCACTAGGTTTTCTTTTCATATTACAAGTCTATGGCTTTTCATTGATCGTGCTGCTAAGATGTAGAGTGGGTGTGCTGGGGTGTATGGTGTATTTTGAGGCCGCAGTGACACATAGCCATTAGCAGAGTTGTTTGATTACTTCCTTTCAGGTAAATTTACTGTCTCATAATTTTACCTTGCAAGCACTGGGTTTGTCTACTCTGTTATGTGTAAGTATCATTCCAGAGATGAGTGCTTGCAGGTGGTGTGTATTAGTAATTTATTTCATCTTAAGAACATTTTAAAAAAGCTTATCCTGAACATGTGGATCTGCTAAATTCCCATCTATGCCTGCTTATTTTTTATGGAAGATGAAACAAAATGTTAAGTTTGATGTAGGCGAATGTCCTTCACGGCCCTAAACTGTGTGGCTATCTAGGTATCTGTGGCACAGATTTTTATTGTTTTCAGGAGCAGCAGTCATCAAGGTTCTGGTTCATGCAGTTTGTTCTGAAACAGGGTTAAGGTACTGTCTTCAAAGATACTTCTCCTCTAGATTTCTGAGTTTATTATGCTGTGGAACTGGAATGCATTTCTATTTCCATGCATACCCCTTGACCCCCGTGCAAGAACTTTCAATCTTGCCAATGACATGCTTTCCTTTGCATAGTTCCCAGATCATGAGTCCTATTCCACCTGTTTCCTCACCACCTCTTACTTCGAAGACAAAGGAGCTTGCAGACAATGAAAACCTTGATGTAAGTCAAATGCTTTACCTTGTATTTGTGAACATCTGAATCTTTCTACTGTATCTTGCTGGATACTTAAAGCGCTCAAAGAATGTGAATGGAAACTAAATGTTAAGGAAATAGCAATAGCTTAGGTTATTTTTTTTTACAGTCTTTCTTTTTGCGTACATGGTTACACTATCCAAAATTGGGGGACTGGGCACTGAGTTCCTCATAAAATTAAAGGAGAAAATTACTGCAAAGGCTATCACATGCTGACTAGATCCTGTCAATTGCATGTGTTTGAGGTGTTTTAAAGCAGGTTTTTTAATGGAAAGCACTTATCCAAATGTTTTAATCTCTGCAGTCTGTTCTTCCTGTAGCTGTATTCCTTGGTGTGGGTGTCATCTATTTTGAACATAAGTGAGACACTCTGTTGATTTACATCTGCCAAGGATTATAAGTAATTTATACTACAAGTAGAAGAGTAATAAGAATGGGACTGGAGAGAGGGAAACATAGAAGGTAAAGACAGTTTGAGGGAGTCTGATTTTAATCTGATGTGCAGTTAATTCGTCTTTGAACTAAAGATCCATCCCCTATTGTAAATCTTCCTCCTTGAGTCTCAGTACTGCATAGAAAATAAGCCTCAATTTGAGCATATCAGTAAAGATAAATGGATTTCTTATTAGTTGGAATATTAAACCTTGAAAAAGCAGCTAAGTGCTGTTTGTCCTCTATAGATTTCTTTTTCTCTCTGTGTTAAAATGTGAAATATCTTAGATTTTTAGATGTTCTGAATGCACAACAGGGTAGTAAATCCCTTTCAGGGTTGAATCTTACAGCAAGGGATAATTGCATAGGAGGAAAGTGTAATATATTGGAAATAGAAACATTGCATTAAAGGTTTCTTGTTGAAGAGCATCATATACTTTGGATATGTTGGTAAGTATATACTGTAGTAGCAGACCTTTTTTTACTTGTAGTGTTGTTGCATTTGGAGTAATGTTAAAACTAGTATGATTTAAATATTAGGTTGGATTGGATTCAGATTTTAGAAGGGAGTGTACCTCTGAAAACTCCCTACAATTATTTGGGGTTTTTCCTTAACTTTGTCTCTCTCTCAAGTGCTTAGACTTCTTTATAACTTAATTTTGCTTTTCTTAAATCCCTTCCAGCAAGACCTTTGCACTTTCTTGATATCACGAGCATGCAAAAATTCCACGTTGGCAAATTACTTGTACTGGTATGTTAGAATTTTTTTTTCTTACTGTGTCAATGCCTAATTGAAATCAAAGCTGTAATACCCAGAAGGATTCACAGCAAAAGATGACCTGTCTTGAGAACTTGAGATTCTCGATTTCAAGGAGACTCAAGGAGTAAAAGCAGGGTGTTGGTTTTTAAAATGCACAAATATGCTTTTCTGTTAGCCAAAAGTGGGTTATTTGAAGGGCATTAAGTACAGTGCTAAAAAAAAAAGGCCTAAGTATACTTTATAAGTTGTCATTCAAGTTATTTACAGTGGTGGGGAGGAGATAAAGTTCATCTTCTGCTCTGCTTTTCTGTTTAGTTTGTGTTTATCATTTTTGACAGTGCACAGTTATGCACTTTAGTATTAATCAAGCGTATACTTTATGAAGGTTCATGAAGCACTAATTTTTTGTGCTAATCTAGTTATTTTTTACAATTCCATTTGTGGTTATGTTATGAGCACAAACAAAATGTCATTGCCCATGTGTGCTTTCTTAAGGGGGAACTTTAGTTGTGAATAGTTCATCTAGGTAGTGGAGAGGTAAGATCACTCAGGTAAGGATCATGTCTCACTTCAGTGGTTTAAGAATTAAATTAAATGCCTAAACTAGTCATCTGCATGAATTCTAAGTAAGAGTTTTCAGATAGGTATTATCTAATTTGAAGAAAGCTGAGATGAATAGAGCTGTACTCCGAAAATGTGTGTGTATATGTGTATATATTAATGTACATATATGTGCATATACATAACACATGCAGCTATTTACTTGTATGTACACATGTATTTTAAAATAGAGAGCTTAGGTGCCTTTTATATGGCTAAACTTAAGTCAAATGATTCTCACTTGTATCCTTTGTACATATATCTAATAATTAAAAATTCTAATACATTTTATTATTTTTAATGTGCTATGAATATTAACCACAGGTATGTCATGAATTAGAAACAGTGCGATGTGTAGTGTAAACTTGCCAAACTGTTCTTACAACATTCTTAGAGGAATCCTAACCTACCCTGAGAGTGATTCCATTTGTAAATGTCTTTTTAAGGTTTATTATTTCATTGCTTTTTCAGTAGCTTGAATTTAAAGTATTTAAGTGCGTGACTTAACTACGGTTCCTTAGTGCATATACTTCTGTTGCAGTAGCCAAAGGTAGTGTTTGGCTTCAGAAGAAAGTGCTATTAAATTTAAATGATTAAAATAATTGTGTGCCTAATTGATGTGAGTAGAAGCCACATGCTTGACCTAACCAAATATTCTTCATTTAAGTTAAATGTTAGTAGGTTAGCTTATTGCTAGCACATCTATAGAAACTGTACACTTAAATTTTGGCAGCGTCTCGCGTGTTCAGTCTGCAGAAAGTTCAAAGCATCCAGAACTCTGACGTTTTTGTCTTGACTTAAAAAAACAAACAACCAAACAAAAATAAATCCTCAATCAATTTATTCTTTGTTTTCTTTCCAGACATCTCAATTTCTCAGTGGCAAAATACAAACGTTGCAGCCACAATTTCAGCTGGCATAGCCATAAATCCTCTTGGCTGCTGATCAATTGCTTGTTTCAACTCACCAGACACAGAGTGCACCTAAAATAATCAATGAAAAAAGTACAATAACCCTTGAAAATCAAACCTCCTGCTCAGTCACTTGTCACTGCAAAGCTATCCTACTCTTTAACAGCAGCTACAGAAATCAGTGTTGCTGTTTTTTTTCTGTCTCTTCTTTGGACATATGAGACATCTGTTCAAGTATGAAGTATTACTGCTTGTCTCAAGATAGCTTTGAGAAACTGTCCTAGTGAAGATGAAAATGGGATGTTTCAATTCCTTACTTCCTGTTTTTCTTGAAGTTTTGGTGCATAGACTTTGTAAATATGGACTTCGTTTTATACACATATTACTGCAGTGTATTTTCCTATTGCTGTTTTAGTGAGGGAAAGGTGTAAAACAATATATTAGCAAAGATTGAGAAGTAATCTTTAGTTATGGACTTAACTGAGATAATGCTCATGGAATAAGTTACATATACTTTATTTCAATGCGTATAATGTGTATTTGTAAATAAGACTAGTCAAATCTGATCATCTGTAAATGACACACCTCTAATCTTGTCCCATAATCATTGCGTTGCAAAGACATTCTAGCTGTCTGCGTGAAGTCCAAGTGTGTTTGTTTAATGTGTAGAGTCATTTGTGAATCCAGATGCAGTGTTTGAAAACTGACTTGGTAATTTCTTCCTTTTTTTAATAGTGGGGTTATATGGTTTTACTGGGTAGTACTAGGAGATGTCTTGAGCAACAGAAAGACCTTCTGTGCATAGCTACTTTTTGTTTGTAAAAGCAAAAGCTTTCCAAACATCTTAACATACAAAAACAAATTTTCAGTATAACTGTCCCAAAGTGTACTGTTTAAATCTTTCACCTGATTCATAATTTTAGAAATGAAAACTTATTTTAGAATGTAGAATTTGCGGATCTGCTTCAGGACCAGTCCTGTCTTTTTCACCATTGCTAATGGTAAAATTGGGAACAGATAGGGTGAGATTCTTCTTGTTTTTGCAGGTATACTAGAATAGCAAGCTTGACACCCCTATGTTACGTAGAGGATAGTAGCACAGTGGAATGCTCACTCCTCCAATGTGTACTGCTTGATTGGAGTGTTCATATGATTTGGGCTTCTAACTTGTCCTGTTTGGATGATGCCACTTCACTGTAGGCAGAAGACCTCAGGAACTTTGATAGACTCTCCTAATCCAATTGATAATTTGACTCTGCAGTTTTTAAGAGTTCGCCTGTTGGTTTATATCTCATTCAAAGATTTACTTTATTTTTAGTTCCAGGCCTGTAATACAAGGCTGTTGTATTTCACTCAAATTGTGTAGCACCACAGTACAGCGTAACTTGGGTTGTTTTTATACTGCAGGTATGTAATAGTGGAGTGTGAAGACCAAGATACTCAGCAGAGGGACCCAAAGACTCACGAAATGTACTTAAATGTGATGAGAAGATTTAGTCAGGCTTTGCTGAAGGTAATGTCTCTGTGTAAGGAAATACATAATGGTTTATAGTCATTCTTTAAAAAGACACAGGTGTCTAGGAGGATGAAAGTTGTTTTTTTTTTATCTCAGATGTATTGAAATTTTAGAAAAAGCTTTCACTTCTGCTTGAATTTTGTGTTTGTCATAAGCCAGAGAAACTACTGAAAAAGAAAAGGACAACTTTTCAGAACTCTTCCTTGCTTGTTTTATTGGTTGTTTCTATTAGTAACATGCTGGGCCTAAAATCCTCTGCCTTGTATAATCAGTCTGTTTTATTTACTATTTCTTTATTGGAAGCACTTGTCCTGCAAATTGAGTCAGGAGACCTATCTTTTAAATTCACAGTGTTGTTCTGTGTATCAGCAGCAGAGGGTGCTGGAGCAACGGGAAAAAACCGAAACCAAAACAAAACAAACTTCACAGGAGGGAAGAAGAGCAAACCCTCTGTGCGATATCATAGAATGATTTGAGTTGGAAGGGACCATCGAGGTCACCTAGTCCAACCCCCCTGCAGTAAGCAGGGACATCTTCCACTAGATCAGGTTGCCCAGAGGCCCATGCAACCTGACCTTTATATATACGGAGAAAGTACTTTGCTAAGTTCTCAACACCATATTTACAACTTCTGTGAATTGCAAGCTATGATTTATAGCAGATGTACAGTCTTTCCTTATTTTTTTGTATCTTGCATTTCATATTAATTTTGATTTTAGGGACATTGATCAAATCTGACTCTTATGGTTCATAAGAATATTTGATGTACTTACCCTTACTAACTTATTTTGGCTGTGTGAATAGGTTTTTCATGCATGACTGTTCACCACTGAAATTGTTGATGCAAATGGAAGTGCACTAGTAGGTCAGATAATTGATTGCCAGTTGCAGTGATTCTGATTGGGTTTTACAGAAAATACCTTTTGAATTGACAGGAAATTGGTCTTTATTCACTTACCTCTTGAAAGCCCAAAGGTATAGGAATAAAGGAATAATTTCTAGATACAATAATTACCGAACAAAGAACTAATTTTGTTTCTTTTAATTCACGTAGGGTGATAAGTCTGTCAGAGTTATGCGTTCATTGTTGGCAGCCCAGCAGACATTTGTAGATCGACTGGTCCACGTAATGAAAGCAGTGCAGCGTGAAAGTGGGAATCGTAAGAAAAAGGTAACTAAAAGATTGAAAAACTTATCTCTGGCTAGAATTTGACAGTAGGAATCAGCTTTTCACTAAAAATTCTTAGCACTGAGATGTAGAACTGATGTCCATCTAATCTGTAATAATTTTACCTAACTTTAAACAAACTTTGGAGAGCTTTAGGTGGGTCAGAGTTACAAAGTGTTCTGAAAGTTTGTGGATGAAAAACAGAAGAGACCCTTAAGGAAAATCTTGTCATATTTTGGCAAAAGGAAGATATAAGAATAAGCGAATAGTTGATGATATAACAGTGAACAAGTTGCGGGGGGTCATGGGAAGGCAGCAGTGGTTACTGTGGTGTGAGAATTATTCCAGGATAGATAATGAAATTTGACTAGCAGCAAGGTTTCATTTGTTCCAAGAGCAGCAAAACTCTTCTTTCCTTTATTAGGTGTGTGTTTAGCAGAAGTTTGCCTTCTGTTGCATCTTGAGGAAAAGGATGTATCTCAGGGGTGCATTTTAAGAAGCTTTTTAAGTGAATTTGACAGACAGGTTGGAATGCTGAAGGGATTTCTATTTGTGGATTTTCTTTTCCTCTGACACACATCAGTATTTTTAAACAGGGATTTTTCAGTGTAATAATTTTTGTCACTTTCTTTCTTTAAATCTGTGGCATATATTTGTGCAGGAAAATTAAACACTTAAGCATTGCATCATTTTTGTGAAATATTGTGAATATTCTGTCTATCAGTAATAAAGTGTAATCACTAAAAGAGGAGGAGCGTTTTTCAATTCATAGAGAGTGTATTTCCTGCTTGTGCAATACATTGATAGCATTCTGTCCTGTCAAATGTTCTTTTGTAATTGCCAGGATATTTAAGTAAAACTAAGAAACGCATGGCTTTGATTTTTGGATTAAAATCTATCTAGCAGCAAATAACCACTGGAAGTTTTCCTAACAGTGGTCTGCCTTGCTGTGACTCTGTGTTTATGCCTGTTTATTCAGTAGGGTAAAAGACTAGAGACTTTTATGTATTCAACCTGTATTATGTAGGACACCAAGTGTAAAGCAATCAAAAACTGGATGGTGTTGTATTTTTGGTAACTACAGATGTAGGAATGTAGAACAAGTCCTGAAATCGGATCTATGAAAGCTGTTGGCAATCTGGTTCATTGGTGGTAGGGGATCTCTTTGCGTTCAGGGATTTAAAGGATCAGAGCTAAGGACTTCAATCAAGTTTCTAAAACAGAGCTAACATTTGATACTGGTATAGAAAACAAATCATCCTGCTTCTTGCACAGGCAATTTAGAAATAAATTTTTACAAGACTATTGTATCTGGCACTTAAAATCGCCTTACTGTATTTAGACTAGATGGAATATCTGCTTCCTTATTCAGATTACTGCAAATGGGGAGTTTTTATTTCACCGGATTTTAAGAGTGAAACTGTGATTCTTTGGAAGAGTAAAGAATTTAATGAATTCAATATTTATTAATATATCCTTTGTTAAAAGACTTTTTAACTGTTAATGTATATCTAGTATGTGTTTTGTGGTTTGTTTTGGGTTTTTTTTACATAAGGTTTTGATCTTTTATTCTTTTAGAATGAGAGGCTTCAAGCTTTGTTAGCAGATAATGAAAAAATGAATTTAGCAGATATGGAACTTATTCCACTTCCTCTGGAACCCCAGGTGAAAATTAAAGGGATAATCCCTGAAAAAGCCACACTCTTCAAGGTAAATGAGATGTTATGAATAGCTGAAATACAAACAACCCTTATAAGCACTAAGCTTAAAAACCTCAGTTGAAAGATTTAAAGAGGCTGACATAGTTGAGGCAAAATGTAACTTTAAGGTGCTCATAAGTGGATAAACAACTCTTTACTTTTGCTGTGAAACTGTTTTCAAATTAATGTGCAAACCTCAAAGCAGCTTTGATAAAACTGATTAGATGTATGCATCTATTCCATTGGAAAACAAAAACGTTAACTTATTAGAGACTGGAAAGAAATAAGGTGAAGCATTTAATTCTGTTGTAGTGGACTGGCAAGTAGATCCTCTATCCTTAAGGTTAGTTTACTCCTTAAACCAATCTGTAGCAGTTGCTTGTGATCGTGTGGCCATCCCTTGCTCTAGTTATAAACCATCAATATGATGTTGGAAAGGCTGGGGTTATTTTGCTTCCTATACTATGTGGATTGTAAGGTATTGCCAGTCTGCAGCGATGTAGGACCTCTTTATAAATTTACTTTTTAGTCATACAGGTAACTGTGATCTCATTTTAAGATGACCAAAAATGTGCTTTACCAGTCAAGCCTATATCCAGTTAAAATAAAAATTGAAGCTGCTGTGGCAACCAGTGTTAATCCATCATCTCTACTAGCTCATAAATTTATTATGCCTAGTAGTTTCAAACTTTGACAGGCTGCTTGTTGACTGCGATATAATTTGTGTTTATTTAAAATTGGAGGTGAACAACTTTTTTTTTCTCCCATATAATCCCTTGGTTCCCTAGCTTTGCCTTACTTCTTTATAGTTCGGTTAGTCTTTTTGCTTTATTTGCCAGTTAGTCCTTTTGAAGAACATGCTTCAGTTTCATGCTCTTGCACCTCAGGTTGGAGGCAACATTGGATAGACCTTGTCATGAAAACAAGGTTTTGCAAACCTGAGTCAACTTTTAGCATGAATATGATTTAAGTAAGTGTCGAGGGAAGTATGTTGATGAAAAGAATTCTGGAACAGCAACTAAATATTTCCTGTCAAGAATAATAACTTGATCAGGAAAAACTCAAGTCAGATAGTCTTCTACATATTGATCTTCTGTAGCAATGTAGAAAAATTAGGACCAAAAAATATGAGATATAACTTGTTTCAAAATCAGAGATGGATTCGAATCTTCTTATTCTGAAAGATTAGAGGTTTCCATTTAGTCTTGCATTCTACACTGTAGGATCAAAAACAAACAAACCCAAAGAGGGAAGAATGACTAATTTTTAGTGCTCTTTGACATCACATGGCAGCTTTTGTAGGACAATTTAAAGAATAGTTTTTTCTTTATTTATGTAACTTAGTAATTCTGAAACATTAATCGCATGTGAAAATCGAACTCTTCAAGTATTAAACTCTTTATCCTTGATTTCTATTTTTTGTTTTGTTTTTGAGGACAGTGACTTGGTCAGTTGGAGTAGATTAAATCATTCATATAGATAATTGATCCCCTTCAACCCTCTTTATGCAGAGAAATTGCAAACAATCAAATTGTCTTTCTCAAACAACGTAAAAAGGCATTTTTGCTTTTACTAAGTAGATTAAGGAAGCAATTAATTTTTTAAGATGTCTTGCCCCTAGCATTTCTTTGATGGTTATCCTATAATTGTGTCTCTTTTTGATCTGGTCAGTTAAAATTTGTTTTGTTGTGACCTTTTGCATAATGCTTCTATGTTGATTAGAATTAGATGCATACAAACAAAATTTGAATCCTCCTTTCCTCTTCAGCTGCTGGGGCGAGGGGAGAAGGAAATGTATCCTTCCTACTCCTTGCTAAAAAAACAAGAAGGAAAACCTTAGGGTATTTTTTTTATTAAAGTGTGCCTAGATCACACTTCTGGTAGCTGGAAATCATATGTTCTAACTGTTGAGTCTGAGTAACTGCTTTTAGAAGCTTTAGAATTGCTTCTTTTCTACCAAACTTTAGAAACATGAAAAACGTACTGGTGCTCATTGCTACATTGTTGGTATTTAAATGACGCTATTGTAAATGTTTTTGTAACTGAATTTTATACATGAATCCTATGACCTGCTACTTAATTCACTTCTGATTTACAATGCAGTAAACAAGGATTTATATTTTAGAACTCCACTGTAGCAACATGGCTGTGAACCAGCTTAGTAGGATATGTTTCCTTTTCCAGAGTGCTTTAATGCCTGCTCAGTTATTCTTCAAGACAGAAGATGGAGGCAAGTATCCTGTAATTTTTAAGCACGGTGATGATTTACGTCAAGATCAGCTTATTCTTCAGATTATATCACTTATGGATAAGGTGAGAAATATTAATCCACATTGTTATCTTTCTGTATTCTTGATTTTCCTTGTCGAGAACAAGGCTGTTGAAAACTCTTAATGCAGCTTGTGTTACTAATACTTTCTAGGGTTCTCAGATCTTAGGTGGATTTTTTCTTTTCTTTATACACAGGCAATGAGCCTGTGTATACTTAAGTAACAAAATTGGCAAACAGACTTTCACTCTTCACTGATTTCAGTGAAGAATGGTGGAAATCAATGTCCAATATACATTCCTTTTAGAAATAGAAGCTACCTTTCTGTTGCATCAATCTTTGCTTTTTTTTTTTCTGTGTTGTTTTTTTTTTCTAGCTTTTAAGAAAAGAGAATCTGGATTTGAAGCTGACACCCTATAAAGTGCTAGCAACTAGTACAAAACATGGTATGGATACTTTTATTTCCTAAAAATACAGAATTGGGAGGAATCTTCTACTTAATGTTCACAGACTGCTGTGACATGCTAGATGTTTTGCTTAGTAGAGCATTCTAAAAAGGAGCTCAAATGCTTAAAAAAAATGTGTTGCAATATAAGTAGTTGAAGTAAACAACCTGAGTGACCACAGTGTTCCGTAGGTGACTTGAGTTATCTTCATAAAAGAAGCCCAGTCTGGATTTAGGAGTATGTGACAATCAGTAGTGTTATCTTTGCTGCTAGCTTACTGTGTCATCTAAGACAACAAACTTTTAACACTCCTATTTATAAATCTTTGTATGAAATGGAGGAGAAAAAAACCAAGATGAAATCAAACTTGGCTGTGCTTTTAGGTACACTCTGGATAAATGTTTAGAAAGCCGTTGATTTCTCTTTTCTTATGAAAACTTGGAACAACAGACCTTTTGCAAGCTAATTTGTGTTAATGACAAGTTGTTTTAAAACTATTGAAGGCAGAAAATTGAGACAAAACATGGGGGTTTTTTTGCCAATGAGAAGCAGTTGAAAGAAACTGTGTATTAGCGTTGCCCTTTAATAAACATGCTCTATAGAGTAGCTTGAAAGTTCTATGCATTGGAGATTATTTTTTGGCTGTTTTCTGTCACAGGCTTCATGCAGTTTATTCAGTCAGTACCAGTTGCGGAAGTTCTTGCTACTGAGGAAAGTATACAGGTACGTGATGGGAGATTTTTAAGTCATCTTCTGATCAAATAGTATAAATTGCAGGCTTAGATGTCATGCAAAAGTCTTTAGTCTCTCAACTGATTTTTGTATCTGTTGTTAGAAGACAAATTACAGCTTGAAACATAAATGTATTTACAGCAGAAGTTTTGCTTTAAAAAATACACATAAATCACTGTATAAATACCTCATGTCCTAAAAGTAATACCATTTAAACAATTAAAGTGTAATTTAGCTGTGGTACAGAAATTCTGGCTTTGCTGTGATGATGAATGGTAGGTGCGTGACAGTTTTCTGTACTGTTTTGAAGTGTTTCTGTCATTCCGTCAGTACTTCTGGCTTGATACCTTGTGAAAGTATGTTTTAATGATTTTTTTGATGGAACAACTGATCAGTTTGTTCATATAATTTCTGAAGTCTGTTTTCCTGTAGATAGTGTTTGAATTTTTTTTTTTTTTTTAACAAACTTTCAGTAACTGTCATGGAATAGAGGGACACGTAATGGCGCACAAAATCCATGCTAGTTTCAAGCACAGCACATGAGCTAGGTAGCAGAGCTCAGATGTCTGGGATAAATATAGTTAGATAAAAACATTCCAAATTGCCAAATGAGTTAAATAGTTAATAAGTTTTGGGTTTTTTTAATGAAAACACAGCATGTTGATGTTGGATTCAATTTGTCACAGTCTCTTTTTTCCCCCTTTTTTTTTTTGGTACTTGATACTGAAGTTTGCATTTGTTCATAGCTCAATAGCTGGGAGCCGAAGTAAATAGCTCAGAGCTTCTATAAACTACATATATTAAAAATACGGAGATTAAAAAATGCTTATCATTTGTAGTGATCATTTGCTTAACAAATGAACATATCAAATGCTTATCACTTATAAAAAATGCTTATCATTAATCAGACAGTGACCAGCATCGTTGCCTAAGTTTTTTTGAGTTTTTCATTCAGTAAAGATTGTGATAAGCTACAACTACACGTTCAATAATTATCCAGTTTATAAAGTACTTTCTTGACAATCCTTTGTACTCTTGGAAATGTACTATTCTCATTCTAGTCCATTGTATGTTTTTGTAAAATCATATATTTTGAAATGCCTGTGAAATTTTTCAATTACTTATAAAATCATATTCCAATCTAAAATAGGTGCCCCACTGTTTTAGTTGCTGTGCAGACATAAGGAGCAATTCTTCATGTGAACAATTGCTAATCTAAATAGACAAGATGCCAAAAGAATATGATCTAAGATTACTTCACAGGACAATGGCAAAATACATTATAGAACCCAGATTTCCTGTGCCATGAAGCATGATAGAATTTATTCTTTCTGTAAATGTTCATTTTGGGTGTCACAGCTGTTTTAATAAAGATGGGCACTATATCTAAAGATTAAAAATTTGCTTGACTTATGAAAAGATTTAAAGCAAGTAATCTAATATTGGCTAGTAATGCAGATCCGCAGGAAAGAAAAGATGTTTTCGTGTCTGACTGTTGCTTACCTTCTATCAACAATCTTGAAATTACAGTTCATGTTTTGGAGGTATTTCTCTTCCACTCTCTACAGTTTAGCATTTGAATGGTCTGAAGTCTAATATTTTTTGTTTGTTTGTATCTCTCTAGTACCCTGTTAACCGGTTAAATTGCCTTCCACATTTTGCTTAGGGATTTCATTTAACAGAATATTTCTACTGTCAGCTTTTTTAACATATCTCAGAAGGACTTGTTCTGCTGTAAGCAAAGATAATTTCTCCAATTCTTAAAACTCTGATAAATGTTACAACAGGACTGCTTTTCAAGCAAAACTTTCTTAAATAGCCTGCAGTTGGCCTTGCTTCAGTACATCCATTTCTTTTGTGTCATTCCCTTCATTTTTTCATTAGGATTTTTCATCACTTATGTCATCTAGATGTCTGCAAAGCTCCTCCTCCAGTGCTGGCTTATCTTTGTTTGCTTACTGGAAGAAACTTGGCTTGAATATAATTTACTCATCTTTTGTCTCAGTCAAGAAAAGCACAGTTTTCTGGGTAGTGGGAAGGACTGTTTTCGCCCTGTCCACATTTCTCAGGAAATGTGAAATTTCCATTTGATGACTTAGATTTCCCTTTCAAACTCAGGAGCGATTGGTTGTGTTGAGGAGTAAGGAGGCAAATAATGATAGTAAACCTTGTAAGTTTATGTCCCAAATGTAGTTACAAACCTGAACTGTTAGTCCTGTTTTAGTTTTTGCTGGTCTGGCATAAACAGTTTTCTGTGGAAGTATTTTGCACTCATAGTTCTTAACAATGCATTGAAAAGTTACTAATTAATTTTCTGAAGCTGTTAATAAAGAAAACTTCTTTACAATTTGAACTTCACATCTGTGTCTATTGAGTATAAAAATATGATGATTAATAAAGTGATACAAAGTTAAACTGGATTTTTTTTCCAGGGAGTGATTGTTAATTTAGCAGACTGTAATAATGGCCGTTTGTGGTCTTGATTGAATCTTTTTTTTCTACCAGTTCTAAAGATTCTGTTTCAGATCATGTGGAATAACTAAATACGTTGATGACTTCCCTTCCAGAACTTCTTCAGAAAACATGCACCTAGTGAGACTGGCCCTCATGGAATAAGTGCAGAGGTGATGGACACGTATGTTAAGAGCTGCGGTAAGTTACAGTATTACAGTTGGTAAATTGATATCTGCAGTATAAAAGATAAGGTAGAAGAGATACTAAGACATTTCAGTTTAGATGACTGCAGATAGGGCATCATGCATGTACTTGCTGTCAGAATCCCTGTGAGAAGAACAGTTCTAAGCCTGGCATGTCATACACAATTCCACTCCGCAGCCCTCTTTTTGTTTTTCTTAAAAGTGATTAGAAATTAAATACTCTTTGCTTTCTAACAATAATCTTGCCTCTGCCCCCTCTGCATCATGAGTTGGAGCCTGTATAGTTTAGGGAGATATAAAGCATTTACATTATAATAAATCTGCTGTATTTCATAGGATCGTAGAATGGTTTGGTTTGGAAGGGACGGTAAAGATAATCTGTTTTCAACCCCCCTGCCATGGGCAGGGACACCTCCCACTAGCCCAGGTTGCTCAAAGCCTCATCCAGCCTGGCCTTGAACACCTCCAGGGATGGGGCATCCACAGCTTCTCTGGGCAACCTGGGCCACTACCTCACAACCCTCACAGTGAAAAATGTCTTCCTAATATCTCATCTAGATCTCCCCTCTTTCAGCTTTAAGCTGGTACCCCTCATCCTTTTATGGTCACGATAGCCTAGGCTGCCCTTGAGCTTCACGTTTCCCCCCAGCCCTTCCTTGCTGGTAAGAACAAGGTCCAGCATGGCACCTCTCCTTGGAGAAGGAGGTTGTTATCAACACATTCCAGGAACCTCCTGACTTGCTTATGCCCTGCTGTGTTGTCCCTCTGCTCCCCATGAAGACCAGAGCTTGTGAGCTTGAGCCTGCTCCCATCTATCTGTAAAAGGCCTCATCCAGTTCATCTTCCTAGTTGGTTGGCCTGTAGCAGACCCCCAGTATAAAGTGCCCTGTCCCTGGAGTACAAATTTTTAATTTGTTTTTAAAACATCAGGTGTTTTGTGGGGTGAGACTACATTCAACTTCCTATTTTATTTGGACAAGAAAAAGAGGTAGTGTAGTTCTTGATCAGAAACCGATGGCAGTGTTAAAATACCACATCTGCTGTCCATGAAATTAAAAGCAACTTCATTTTACAAAAAAAAAAAACAGTGAAAGCAAGAATTAAAATTAAAACAGTTTGCATGAGTTCAAATTTATTTATCACTGCCTGGCTTGCTTACTGCTTAGCTTGTAAGTACTGCTGACATATACATTCAGATTCATATAAATGTCTAGTGCGTACTTACAGTTGTGCTAAAATATCTTAAGTTCAGAATGTGTACATTCATTTTGCTCAAAATACTTCATATTCCTTTGAAGTGTCTTAATCCCAAAATTGAGTGAATTTAGGCTTTTAGTGTTAGGCATATAATTGTGTAGTAAGAAATTAAAATCTAGGTGGTTCTGAATAAACTTCAGACTTTTAATGTATTACTTCTAATGTTCTTCATACTGCCAATACTCTTGATTATTCGTCACCAGCACCACATCTGCCTACAGTATCTATGGCATGTTTATTACTTGCGAAGAAGAACTGAGATAATGTCATATGCTGTTGTTAATTATGGAACTTGTTGCTCTTCTGGAAAGATACTTATATTGATGTTTACAATTTACTTGTTGCAGCTGGTTATTGTGTAATTACCTACATCCTTGGAGTTGGAGACAGACATCTGGATAATCTTTTGCTAACAAAAACAGGTAATTCTTTCTAGCAGTATAATTTTATAACAGCAGTTGTTTAATTTCTAATGTGTTGCTACTGTTTTGCTTCGTTTTCCTTTTGAGTAGAACCAACTGAGTATTGTAAATTAAAGTGTATTTTAAAATGTAAAGTTCCATTGTCTCATCTAAGGTAATACTTGATCCAGTGAATAGAAGTGTAGGTGTAAAGTATTAGTAGTGTGAAGTGGCAGATGAATAAGAAAGGAAATAGATTAATTACTCTTTAACCACATTAGTAGGCATGATATAATATGTATCTGATATGTGGTTTCGATGTCAGTTTAAGAGCCATTTATACATCTGTAGGTAATTGAAGTCTAACTTCTCATAAACACAGGCGTGTTTATAAACACTGGGGTTTTTGTGTAGTTTTCAGTTGGCTTATTTTGCAGTCCTATGTTCTGTGGTCACATATTTTACACTGAAAGCTGGACCTGTAAGTTGTTTTTTGTTAAACACAAGAATTTTCTTGAGTGAGGCTGCCTTTGTTGAAAGTAGTATGGATTTAGTATGCGGTAAAATTTGACCGCCTTTGTGTAAGATGAAGAAACATTTAACTTTTATCTTTAACTTGACTAAAATCATAAGTACGTTTTTTTTCTTCAGAACTCTTCGTCCAAAGCTGGAAAAGGATGCATGAAAAGATATTTGTGAAGTGTGATACTTGTGTACCCCAAGTATCCTAATTGTTCTTTATCAAACAATGTAATTTTCCATTTAATTGTTTCCTGTTTAGTAGCTTTTTTAACATGGTATCAGAGAGGATCCCTGCCCGTGGCAGCGTGGTGGGAATTAGATGATCTTTAAGGTTCCTTCCAACCCAAACCGTTCTGTGATTTTATGAATTCAAGATCTGTTAATTGGATGCCAGCTGTATTTTGATAGATGTCAAATAATTCTGCTTTTTTATATATGCTATTCCAGGTACAGTAGATGTTTAGACAAGTATTATCATAGTCATATGGAATTAGATGCAACGTTGATGATTTTAGTGAGATGTCCGTGTGAATTCTTGTCTCCGATTTGACTTTCCTTTAAACAAAGTGGTTCTGTGTATGTTTTTCTAAGAAATTTACATGATGAGTCCCAGAAGTGGGCATGTTGTGTGAGACCTGTCAGAGCAGGATTCACTTCAGCATTTTCTGTTCCCTATGAATCTTGTGTTCTTGATGAAACATAACCACTGTGCAGCAAAAATCCAAGTGCTCGTCATCAGCCTAACGGACCTGACTGGACCATTCAGCTCCAGTTGTGATTACATATATTTTTTTAATCCTTCTCTTAAAACAAAAAAGGAAATAGACTCTTTGGTGTGCTGCCTATTACAAATTCAGTGTTGGGGGAGAAAGTAGTAGAAATTACTGTTTAATCAAGTACATCCTTTAGTTTGCAGCAAAACACTTGTATCTTGAAAGTTCAAAATAGCAGATAGCATTTTGATCTCTGAAACTTTTTAATGTTATTTTTTTGCCGTCTCTATGGATTAGGAACAGACCAGGTAGAGTGAATAATTCTAGTGATTCTAAATAAATAGAAGATTTCCCTACTAGAGGAAATGAAAAATTTGAAAACTAAACTACTTCAACTATTACAATCAATGCCTTGGGGTGGAGTGAAATTCAAGTGTTTTCGTTGAAAATTAGTTTGTGTGTAGCTGCATGAACTTCACAAAGTTTTAACAAACAAAAACACTTCTTGCAGGGGAAAAATTTTTTGGAGGTTTTTTTTTTTTGATTCCTTGCTTTTGAAATACAGCTTCCCATGGGGGTTCTGGTGCCTGGAATACCGTCATTACTTAGTGATGAACAGTTAGGAGTTGTGGTTCGGTGTTTATAATCAAGTGAAATGTTTATTGAATGTGAATCATGTAAATAAAAAATTTAATTTGGGGAAGGGAGACACATCCTCACGGGAGGCTTCTTAGTTTACAGATACACTTGAAACATATGTTACTTTGAATCTGCACACTCTGCATGAAAGAGTAGAAAATTAATTATTGGGCCTTGATTGGGGTAAAATGAACAAATGGGCATTGAAAAATCTGTCTTGAAAGGTCTCTGCCATTTGTCGAAGGTGACAGGTATAGATCTTTCCATAGCAGGCACTCCTTACATGCTCAGAGTAGTAATGTTTTCGTGTTTTGATTTGGACTAAAGTGCATCTTACCTGTCTGTGTTAAAAAGTAACTTCACAGTGGTTGTTTGTCTTGGTGGAAGAATTTACGCCTCACAGCAGAGGGCAGTGCACATCCATGGTATGTTCAGAGTCTGAAATTGTTTTAATCTGCTACCTAAACTGTCACATACTGAGAGAGGATTTTTGAGCTATCAAGAGAAATTGTTATGTTCCAAATACAACAAAGGCTTGCTACAAAGGCTTGTTTCATGCTACTGAGAATCCCTTAGACTTATGTTAGAAAAAGCTAACTTCATTCCTCTCTTGAAGAATGGAAGCTCTAAGTATCATTCTTCAAAATTATATTACCATATATGCATCCTTTTTTCATTATATTTCTGTAATGAATTGACGCTTTCCAGTAGGGTGAAGAATGCTGAGTATTAGCTGTGGGTTCACATACTTTTCTTGGATTCAAGTTTCTAAAAACAAATTGTTTCCCACTCAGTGTTAGAAATGGGGTTTTTTTGTGCTGTAGGGTGAGAATGTCTGTTATCTGGATGAAATAATTTTTATTGTCTTTCATGACTGATTTATGCCTTAATCCTGAGAATATGGCGACTTTTTTTTTTTTCAGTAGTCTTAAACAAGAAATGTAAAATTTCAGATTTTTTAATTCTGTACCATTGTACTTCAAGGGTACCTGTAGAAGTTTGGAAAGAGATATAGGGAGCCTTCAGTCAAAACATCCTCATCTATCAGTTATGTCAAAAATTGCACTAATACTTGCATCAGTTTCACACATGTGCCTTAGCTTGTAACCTGAATGTCACATGATATAGTCAGTATTATGTTACAGGAATATTTCTTTTTCTCTGAGAACTTTCAACTTCCTACTTGTCCTGGAGATGAAATGTTATCAATTGCTATATGTTTTAATTTCTTGTTTCCAGATCTATAACAGCAGGTATTAGAGTGACTTGTAAATAACAAGACACTGTTTTGCAGCTGAATACCCAGCTTTAAATAACATCAGTGCCTCGTTGTAGGATTGCAGACTGATTTATATATTAATGCCAGTATCTGACTTATTAGCTAATGTGCCCTCTGTTGCCTTGGAAGGAAGAGCTGGATGGTTGTGAAACTGGATTGTGATATACCAGACGTAGCATGTTCAGTTAACTTTCATGTTCAAGCCTTCCCCTGAAAATTGTTTCTTCTGCATTTGTTCCACTCTCTCATTTTGATCGTGGAGTTGGGATCTAGCTGTTGATGTAACACCAGATGTGGACAGCTTCATGTTTGCTAAGCCTTTACAGCCAGTACATCATTAGAGCTGTGATAGTGTTTCAGCTATGATAGGCAAGTGAAGTCTCCTGTCCCATCTGAGATATCTTAATAACTTCAACTTGCTTTTGCAAAGGTCCTGTCATATTTGCAGGCTGTGTGTAGGTGTTTTAGGATATCCTGAGACGCTCAAACGGCGTTCTTGAGTAGCACTGCATGTGTGTGTCTGAGCAGCTAATTCTTACCCTAATGACAGGCCAGCTTAATCTTTTATTATCCTTTAGGGACCTACTTGTAAATTCGAGTTTGCATTGTAGGTTTCCTAAATACAGGCACTTTGGTTTGAACTCTACACTTGAAGTTGCTTTGTAGAACTAGAGCAAATTGATAGGTGGATAAATGTAGGTTATTATCATCTGAGGGAAGTCAAAAACAGACGTCTCAGAACTTGAAAACCACATTGACTTTTCAGCATAATGTGTAGACGTGTGAAAGAACGGGACTGTCTTCTCATTTAATGCTTAGAGGTAGGACTGTGGTTTGTCTTGAGTGTTAAGTGCACCAATTCACATCTGAGTTATTCTTCAGTCTCAGTTAGAAAGGTTTGCCAGGTTAGACAGCAAAGATCTGAACAGTTCCATATGTGAGATGACACCATGTGTTTGTACTTTCCGTGCTTTTCAGTTAAAGCCATCTATCCCAAAGCAGGTTTGAGGATGACAAAGATGGAAAAACTGTAGGACTCAAACCCTCTTTCTATATCAGTGCTTAAATAAGTATATTAATAAATATACTTATTAATGTTGCAAACTACTGTAGTATGTGAAATGCAGTGGAATTTCTAAATACTTTTTTAAAGGTTAGGTCTTGATAGAGTAGGATCCTTTTTTTAAAACAAAAAACCAAACCAAAACAGAAAAACCTAACACATGCTGTTATCCTTTAGATTTCTCTCTGCAACTCTCAATTTCTGTGATGCCTACCAAAGAGAACATAAACTTTAACTGCTGGTCTGCTAAAATGTTTTCTCTTACAGGTATCTCGAACAGTATTTCTCATTTAACAATACATATCTGACATTTTTTTTTTTCCCTATAACGTGTCTGCATGCAGTGTATTTTGAGAAGGGACAGCTTGAGGTGTGAGGGGGAAGAATTACAGTGCTTAGCGCAAGCTGGGCCCTTATCCATTATGTGTATGACAGTGATAAACTTTACCTCCAGCTGTTGCTGCATACTGAGTTTGAAATCTGTATCCTGAACAAGTTCTTAACAATTCATTCTACTTTCTTTCATTTTTGGGTAGACAGGTTATAACATGCAGCTGATGAAAACGATGATAATAAATTAGGCATTCTGATATTTTTCACCATGGCAGTGCTCTGTTAGTGAAGGAAAAATTTTGACGGTAGCATCAGAATTTTCTGTGAAAGCCAGGAAACCATCCCATCCATCCACTCGTTTTCATCAGGGGAATTTTTGTCCTATTGCTTCAAATTTAAAATAGGAATTCAGTTAAAATAGTAACTAAATTGTACTTTTTCCATACAAATCAGGTTAAAATAATAGCGGCAGTTGCAATTTACAGAAAATATATTGAAGTCCAGAGCTTGGGGTTTTTTGTGTATTGGTTGGGGGTTGGAACAGATAAGTTCGGAATAATTTGTAAGGCTTTCTTGTCTGTTAAAAGACAGTTGCCACCAGACTTATTTTAATTATTGCATCTAGCTTGCTTTGCCTTGTGCATTTTATTTAAGGATTTAAGAATTCTGTGCATGTTTTCAGTAGCTTTTCCTAACAGTCCTGTGGTGAAATAAAACAATTTCTGTGCTGCTATATGGGAACTTTCTCCTGTACTAAAATCCAGGCATTAGCAGTAAAAGTGATGGACAAATCAGCCTCTCTAGCGCAGTCAGATGTTATTGGCTATTGCAAGCACCAGGTATCAATTTTTAGTCTCCACAAGTCCATGCTTCACTTAATCAAAGATCACTTCACTCTCAAGGCTGAAAGGAACTCAGATGGACTTTCAAATCCCTCAGGCCCTGGCTGCTCGTCAGGGAAACTTTCCATGTTTGGTGCCATTTCCTTGAACTCTCAAAGGGCCTATCCTCCTTATTCCATATGTTAGAAAACCAGGTGTTCTGTAGAAAAATGTAGTCAACCTCATAAAATTAAAAAGAAAAAAACCAAACACAAACAAACTTAGAAATACACAATAGTATCAGCTTTTAGGTTTTGAACTAAATAATTCTCAGTGTGTGTGCTGTGTTATTGCATATTCCTGGAAACATCTCATCTTCTTCCAGTCAGTAAGTGTATCTTGCTTTTTCTACAGTAAAATAGCTTAAATGGGGAGTGGAGAATGATTATTAGGACACTGTTTTTTAAGGTGGGAGGCTATTTAAAGCCTTTCCAGCAGAGATTTTTCCTGCTTCCTGAAAGAGTGCTAATGACATCTTTTAGACTTTGAGGAGTGAGCCACTTTACACATCAGAAATGTTTGTCCAGACTGTGTATCTTCTGTGTGTAGATGCCTACATGTAATCCTGCCCCTAACCTCAAAACAGGACAGGAAGCTCCTTCATACTTCTCTGTGGTCTCAAGCTGTTTCCTGAATTGTTATGTTTTGTTTTGTCAGATGCCTAAAATCACCCATTTTTATAAGGAACTCAGATTTCTAAGTAGGTGTTTGAAGGTTTCAAAGCCTAAATATTAGAAATCCAAGGCTTTTTTGTCTAGACTTACAAAAATAGAAGAGGCTCAAAGGGTGAAATCTGTTTCATCTCTTAAGTAGCTTCTCTTTCTCTTTTCTTTAAAACATGACTCAAATGAAAAACCCTCACCCATATGATTCAGCAATCATTCATGAACAGTAATAAACCAGCAAGAGACGTCCAGTTTTGTCTTAGGTTTATTTTCCAAGTTTTGCATCAAAATTTGGTACTATTATGAAGTGTTGAAGTAAGTAATTATGTTTATCTTTCCTTCTTCTGCAGGTAAACTATTTCACATTGACTTTGGTTATATTTTGGGTCGGGACCCTAAGCCTCTACCTCCCCCAATGAAGCTGAATAAGGAGATGGTGGAAGGTATGGGAGGCACGCAGAGCGAACAGTACCAGGAGTTCCGTAAGCAGTGCTACACAGCCTTTCTCCATCTCCGCAGGTAATAATACTGTTTTGATGCTAAAATTTATTAGAGCCACTGTAGAGAAGGAGAGGAGTAAATGAATCAGAAAAAATATTTCTGTTGAAAATTCAAAACTTGTTTGAAGTCTGAATGTAGACAAAATAATTTATATGAAACAAAGGAATGAAAACATCACAGCATAGGTGTAACGTGCAGCTTGAGTGTAATTGTCCTTCAAGTTAAGGTCCCCAGTTTTGCTTGTTTAATAGCCTGAATAGCCTTTTCCATAACTCCTGTGGGGTATTAATTTATATATTGCTTTTTGGATATGTTTTTGCCCTTAAGCAATTTTCTCTCTGATATCATCAATTAACTGTCCTTTTAAACTCTAAGTCATTACTCATTTGCTGCTTTATCCTCCTCTAGTTTAGATAAGTGATGACCAGATTCTTAGCTTGAAGACAGCATTCATAAGCTTAGTTGGGTTCAGGTCCCATGGGACAAATATTAGCAGTGTATACCCAGAACTGTGAAAGATAAAACCTCTTTAAACTGTATTTATTTACGGACCAACAGATCTCTCCTTTAGACTTGGAATCAGCTTCATTATTTTGCAATGACCATGTCACTTACCATCAGTTTTCTGAGCCAAGTAGCTCAGCTTTGTTCTGTTTCAACAGAACACAGGTGAGTGCTCGTGGTCTGTCTGGTGATTAATCTAGTACATCTTCCATGGAGATGAAAGACTTTCACTTTGATATCAAGATCACATAATGTTAATCTCCAAATATGTGGAAAAAATTTAGTGGTATGAAAAGCATGTGTGAAAAGTACATTTAGTATGAAAAGTAGGCAGTCGATTTGACATAAAAAAGCTACATGTAGTTCTCTCCTTGTTAAAAGGAGAAAGTAAGGAGTTGGTTTATGAACTGACATTGTTAATGGATTAAAAGCAATTCAGCAGCGTGAAAAAACAGCAACATGTTACCAGCAAGCAATATTCATGACTTCAGAGAAGAATCAAGAAGGCTAATGTATATTCCGTGTTCTAAATTTTGCTTAAAATCGTTTTGTAATACTGTATGTCTTATTTTTTAAATAATTAGGTTTAAGCAATAAAAACAACGTATCTGTTTCAATGGAAAGGTCTGTTGCATCAGTGAAGGATTATCCGTTGCATTAACTTATGTGATGGTTTGCCACAAAGATCATCATTAAGTGCAGCAATAATTTGGATATAAAACTGAACTGTGAATCAAGATGGTTTCATTTTTAATGTATGGGATTGTAGTTGTAATTAGTCTCTCCAATATTTGTTCAGTCTAATAGGAAAGTACTTTTAAATTAATCTGGATAAATACCTTTAAGGCTTTCAACAGAGATAGCATAGAATAATATTAGTATTACTATAAATATTATTTTAAGCAGCTAGAACTAAAAATGATTAAGATTACTTGCTTATTGAAAAAAGAATAATTAGAGGTGGGATGGCTTCATTCTAACAGTTCTGCATGTTGACACAAACCCATTCACAGACACTGCTTCTGGCTAAGTAGTGTGAAATCATAGCCTCTGATTGCTACGACAAAATGCAAACTGTGTTTGTCATCTTTGTCAATTTGTGTTCTGTTCTTCTTTATTTCCCTGGGGTATACAGACAGTTCTCTACATATTTCAAGTGCTGTATCTCAGTGTTTCAGGACTCCTGGTGGAATAGGTGTTACATAATGAAAACAAATAAAAACAATTTAAAACATGTAAGTGAAAAAATATTTTTTTAGGTTGGAAGCAGTTTGGCATATGATCATTGGTGTGTGTTTTTTGTTGTGGAGTTTGGGGTTTTTTCAGAGTAGGGTAGGGGGGAGATGCTTTCCACTTTTGCAAGCAACGATAATCTATTGTGTGTGTTTGTCAGCAGTTCTGCAATGAAGGAACAGCCTCTGTGTTTAGAAAGGGTTGCAGGGCAAATTGTTGCTGGCAGAAGAGCTTGCACCCTCACTTGGCCTCTAGCAGCCTTTTACACCTTCATTATACACGTTGAGACTAGTTAAAGGTGCTCGGGTCCTGTTATGTGTCAGCATTTCCCTTCCTCGAAGAATGTTGGGGTGAGGGGCAGAGGAAAGACATGCAAACAGTATAGTGAGCAACTCCTTCCTAATTTTTGTCTCTTTCCACTCCATACCAGGCCCAAAATTAGCTTTCTTGATTTTTTTTTTAATTAGGTTCTTCAAATAATCTTACGGTTTTACTTTTAAGTACCAAGAACCAAAAGACTTCATTGTGTGGAACAGAACCAGCACTTAAGTGGCATGTAGCACTGAAGTGTAGACCTGTTCTAAACCTTTGTCACTTAAATAATCCCAGTAAGTGCTCATAAGATCTTATCCTTTATGTGGTTCAAGAGCAAAAGGGACTCGAACTCTGGACACCTGGGTCAGTTCAAAGGGAGAACTACCAATGGCAGCCTCTGATGACCTAGGAAGAGACTTCAGGGAATGTAGCTGTAAGATTTAAGTATGCTTAAAGTGGGATTTGCTTGTTTCAGGCACGGAGAAAAAAAGATTTCTTAAAACCTGTGGGGACCGTTGCTGGCACCAAAGCAACTTGACTGCCAGATTTCTTAGCTGGATCTGAAACAAAACAGTAGCATAACTTTTTCTGTCTGTCCTCTTTGTGGTAATTTTCCTGATTCCAGCCCTTGGGAAAGTGAAACAGAACAGCTGAAACAAATTGGACACAGAACATTTCTGCCCAAACAGTTTATTTTAAATGTATGTGTTAAATAGAGTTAAAACTTAAGTTAGTATGTGTTAATGGCAATTCCAGTTCATAATGAAGCATGAAGAGTTTTTGATGGAGTTATGCTTTTCTAGATTTTTGTTAAGCAGTATTTACTTTGTAAAATATGTCTATGAAGCAGTCCTTTTGTGTAGTTAAAATACTTTGTACTCCTTGCAATTGTCAGCTTATATATATTCAGCAGCTTGCTAGCAAACAAGTTTTGCTGATACAAATTTATTTTCTATCATCTATGAAGCCTTCTAGTGCTCTTAGCAAAGCAATATTTCAGATTTTGAAGTCAGTTACATACTTTTTCTCTGAAAGGAGACCTAGGTCTCTTTACAGAGAAAGGGAAGTTTCAGTTTATGTTGAACAGCTTGAAAATGATGCTTTCAAAAAGCAACTTGCCATTTTGCCCTTGCAGGAAATTAGCTGTTGCTCTTTAAAAGATTGGCGAGTGCTTCCAACACCATGTTAAAACTGAAAACTGTACTCTGTCTTGTCTTTTTTAATGATTATAAATGACATTTGTGCTTTCTAAGTGCAGCATGCCTACCAGTGTTATTGCAGCTTAACTGAGCAACTGCAGACTTGGATCTGGTTAGATCACTGCTATTCAGCATGTTATGACAAAAGCCCTTGCAGCAACTTGAAAAATAATTTCTTGTAACTGTGAAGACTTCAGCTGTTTGAATGCTAATTTATATAATAATGTTATATCAATTATATCCTTTTTAATAAAAAATAACCTTTGAATCTATATTCTAGCATATGTTTGTCTTACTGGAAGTAAAAGTCATTAAATCCTACTATATTTGTAATTATAGTTTATATTTGATGGATAAATGTTCATATGACTTTTAGAAGATTATAACAAAACCAGAGCAGTCTGTTCAGTTTTGGCAGTTTGAGACAGTTCGAGGGTTAAACTTTGACTGTTAATATTGAGTATGTTATGTTTTTACCATAGATATGTTCAGCTGAAGTCTGGTCTCAATCATTACCAATTCACACTAAGAGGGTGATGTGTTCTTCAATGAAGCAGTTTACAAAATGTCTTTTGTACAGTTTACAAAGTGTTTTACCTTATCTGCTCTTCTGCTTAGGTATTCCAACTTGATCTTGAACTTGTTTTCCCTCATGGTGGATGCCAACATTCCAGATATTGCTCTTGAACCTGATAAGACTGTAAAAAAGGTAATTGGAAAGCTTTCCTTGTCTTTCAGTAAGCCAAGTCATTATGCTGTGAAACTTTCAGTCACTTGTGGTGACTTATTTGAAACTGACCTGAAAATAGTTGCTCCTGTTTTATGAGTTTTGAGTATTTTCTAGATTCAGTGAAGTTAAAGAAAATACACTTTTGAGATCACCTAGCACATATGCCCATAAATACAGAATTGCTCTTTACCATCTGTGCAGTCGTGCACAGTCTGCTCTAGCACTCTGTTCCAAGTGGTATTTCAGCATTCTGCTAAGACCACTGATCCCATCTTATGAAACTTTTGTTAAGTGACTATATCATGAAAGATTGTTCTGTCTAGTGTAGAATCCTGTAAGTCATGGATGGTTTTAAAAAAAACAGTCTGCTGGCAGATATAAAACCAGTCTGCTGAAGCTTTAAAACCAGTAGACTAGTTTATCTTCATGACCAAGAAATTTTTGTTTATTGTGAAAACAAACTCATGTCCCCTAATTCTGACTTTGTCCCTTTGCACCTGCCTGAGTCATTCTTCTCCACTTGTTTCAGCAGTTGCCATACTGGATCAATGTTCATCTAGATTTCACTACACTTACATTTTAGGCAAATAACCTGATTTATAGTGAAGGGCTATCTGGTTTAATTCCACAGAAGACTTTGTGGAGCCTGTGTAGCCAGTGAAAATAAGTTCAGTGTCATTTTTGTTTGAGCAGTGGATTTTCTGTGAAATCAGATGTGCTTTCATAGCTTATTGGAAACACTGAAGAAGAGATTCAGAATCTTTAAATTAATATTTCATGTTCTTGTACAATTCTGTTAAAAAAACATAAATTGTGACTTCAAACAAATCTTTCCTTTTGCCTGAAAGAATTCAAGTTTTTTTTTTTTTCTTTTAATTTTGACTTCAGTGATACAGTAAGGAAGGTAAAACCTTTTAGATTGTGAAGCCTACAAATAGATGCACAATAAATCCTGGGAGAAACTGAAGTACAGGTAGTGCAGGGGCTAATTTTGGAAAGTTAGTTGTTGGCTGAAGTAGTCATCAAGATACCAAACTGATGGTTTCATTGAATTCCAGAAGTACTAGTGCTTTCATGTTTGCAGCAGTAAGTTTGAGATTTGCTGTGTGTTTCAGTCTTACTCATCTCTGTCTGGAGTTCACTGTTGCTTGGTGTTCGTTCTTCCCTTGTGTGCTCTCTAGTGAGCTCTGACATTTTTTTATCAAACAGAGTCTCCCAGTATTGCTACCAATTAACATGTAATATCCTTGGGGTTTTTTAGTATCTTGGCATTCTATTTTGTGTTGATAAACTGTGTAGAAGTGTTGTCCAAGGGTATATTGCTTTCTGTAATTAATAATAAAAGGATGTCAGATTCTGTAAAATGTTTGTAAAAGATTGTTTTGCTGTAGTACCATTTGAGTATTTCATACACTTCAAAAACTTTCTTACTCTATATAAATTTTCCATATCATTTTCCTGAAATAACAAATACATGACTGAAAGCCAGTCTTTTCTACAGCTGCTAAATGTTACAGTTCACTGACGTACAGTAGTTAAAAATCAAGATTATTTAGAGCATTATTATATTGTGTCCAATTGGAGATCATGGAAAGAAGCAAATCTAAAAGGAAGTTCTAAGAGCTGTGACTTAAATTAGTGTGGCTACTTCTAAATTCCCTTACAAAGCATGAATAATGGTGTCTTCTCTGCGTGAAAAGAACGTAAGTTTGGTTGTTACATGACAGATCGCTGTTAGATCAAATGCAGCAATTAGTTATTAGGATACTGAGCTCTGACAATGCTGCAGCTTGGTGAACTGTGACTTTTACCCCAATGGTAGGTTCAAGTCTGTTTATTCACAGAGGCTTTAAAATGTGGAAAGAGCTGGAACTGAACCAGTAAGGCAAGTGTTTCTGATAAGGAATGCAAATCGCTTTCACATTTTCAGTTGTTTTGAGAGGAAAAGGTTTTACTTTCCCAAGCAAGTTCATTTACAGTATGCTTGTTTGTTCAGAAGCCAAACCAAAACCCACACAGTAAGGTATTATCAGAAAGATAATGAAATTGTTTAGCTTCTTTTCTTTGTAATTCGTAGACTTTTCAGTCTGTACCCCACCAAGTATTGTTATTTTATATAAACTCTCTTTTTTTTTCTGACAGCTCAGCTGTTTTTAACTCCTGTTAACTGTTCAGGTTTGGTCCTTTTGATTCAAAAATTATCCTTTGAATATACTCCTGGAATTTGTGCAAAAATAACACATCATAATGGGATCCCTGAAGAGTAAGTGAACAGAGGACCCTTCTGTAAAGCAGTTGTTGACATCATGATCTATGGATGTGACAACTATGTTCAAAGCTCCTATGACAGTGTTTTCTTTAGTTCTCAATTTTTGGTTTTACTTTTTTGCTTTAAAAAATTAACAGCAAATCAGCTGTAAATGGGCTAGGATCAGAATGATCTTAACCCGTCATAGAATGGTGAATAAGTTGTTATTGGTTTTTCATAAATAATATATGTTAGAGAACTTGTTTTGGATATTAAATGTCTTAGATCAGTTATGGGCTTTGTTTAGTACTAATAAAAAAAGAAAAGGAACAAGGTGTCTTGCATCTCTTGGGCTGAGTGGCAAGTTTCTTCAGTCATTTAACAAGATAATACTGTACCTGGTTGTAGGAAAATTGAATAAATTCTTTCAGCATTTCAATTGATTTATATTTTTTTTCTTAAAGCTTTAAACAAAAAATCGATACATATTTCAACAGACTCAAATTAGCTAAAGATCCATTTTGGACTAACCTGTAAAATTAAATTACCTATGATGTGTGAGTCCAGTCAACAGCCTTTTCAACCATGAGACCACTTTCATGGAAGACAAAGGTGGAGATGTACAAATGTTTCTGTATCTGAAAAGGAATCCTGCTTAACAGTGTAGCTGGAAGTTCATAGCGAGCATTTTCATTATTGTTGCTGTAGAAATACTTAGTCTCTGTTTTGTAGAGCACTCGTTTTTGGGTTAGGGAGCTGATGAGCCAGTGGGGCTCTGGTCTCACAGGCAGCTGAAGCCAAGTCACTGAGGTAACAAACTAAAGGTAACCTTATCCGAATTTGTTGATAAATCAGAACATTAGTTTGTGATTAAGCTCCAAGGAAATTTGTATATTAGAAAATATAAATTATTGTTTTAAAGAAAGGAATGCTTACTGAAGGAAGTATTGTGCTTCAATTATTTTGGCAAGCAATTTGTTTTATGTAGAGATCCTTGATACTGGAAATTTTCAGTAGATGCAGCTATCCTGCTGTTATCGAGTAGGTATGTATTCTTCTAAATATTACTTCTACATAAACTTTTTGTTGAATCACCACAGCTTTGATTCCTCAAAGTGAAAACATTATACTTTAGATGCTAGCTCACATTCCAATCTAATCTTTAGCTTCACAAAGTGACATGATGCATCCTCCTCACTTCTGAGAGGCAAGGAGGTACCTTGTGTTGCAGGAAATATCATCTCGCTGGTGAAAAGTAGAGTAAGATGTAAAAACGCCTAGTGAGTGTTCCTCTTTCCTAAACTCTCAGAAAATAATCTACCTAGTTTTTAGAGACAGAATGGGCGTTTAATTTTTGTAGTTGTATACATATTCTAGATAAAGATAAAACTGGCGTATACCATATGATGATAATGGCTAGAGTAAAATAAATTGAACTAGAATAAAGAACACTGCTGTAATTTTGCATGGCTTGATTTGCTGTGCTCTCTTTTGTCACTTCCTGTGACACATACATGTGTATTATAGCAGAATGCAAACTAGTTAATCTGAAAAGATGTTGGAAGTCATCTATCCTTGGACTTTTATGTTCAAACAAACAGAAAACAAAGATAATGAAAGAAAGTATGATGTGTTGTATTCAGTGAGGCATTGGATAATCTGAATTGTGATTTTCTTTGTTTTGTTTTTTAAGAATTTCAGACTGGTATTAAATGAGACTTTTTAGAAGAAGCTGGGTGCAGAAAACACTCTCAATAAAAATATTACTGACCTGAGGAACAAAAAACACAGGGTCTTTATTGTACTTGGAGACTGGTTTTGACACAATGTCATCTACCTTCCTGTAGCAGTGTTGCATCCCAAGGAGCTCACTGGCAGAATGGAATTGCATAATCAAGCTTAAAATCCAACTGAAAGCATATTGCCCAGGTGTCACTTTTGTCCAATAATTGTGAAATGTCTTGGGAGAAATATGTATCAAGTCCAGACAAAATTGAAACAGCAGCTTGTGTCATATACAACTTTCTGTAAAATAAGTATAGATTACACGTGTTTGACATGGTTTATGGCACACGATGGTGTAAGCAGAGCTGGATGCTCTGTTCCTGTCGTCTGTGAGGGTGCTTTCACATTCTTCGTGTTCAAAAAAGAACAAGCTCTACACAAACTGATTCTACTTATTGGAGAATGGCAACAATATGGGTATTTTCTTCCTGTTAGTATGAAAATAACCAGAAACTCCCAATGACTTAATTGGCCAATATGGTTTTAGAGCCAAAATTTGTCAGTACCTTCTTACTCACTTTGCATAACATTTGTTTTCAGAAATTAAATCAGTGCTGACCTTAGTGATGCATTTTCACACCTCGGATTGGACTGAAAATTAATTAGTCAGCATTGGCCTGAAAACAAAACAAAACAAAATCTCTGAAGTTTCACAACCGTTCTTTGAGAGTGTATGGAAAAATGTTTTTTCAACCAGCTGTCCCCTTTCAGCATGGATACTCAATATCACTAGATAAATTGGCTAGTACCTTTCACTTGTAAGAAGAGCTTGTTTTAGTGCCTCACTTTCCTCGCTCCAGTTTCGATCACTACTTTTCCCCTTAGAAAACCCCAGAAAACAGTGGTTATTAGCATCACAAAATTGTCCCCATCCTCAAAACCACAGGAACCATCTTCAAATTCTTGGTGTTTGGTTTTCCAGTAAAACATTTGTCAATTTTTGAGT